CTGCCCCGCGGGAGGGGCCGCGCGCTGGCCCAGAGGCACCTGCCCCGCGGGAGGGGCCGCGCTGGCCCAGAGGCACCTGCCCCGCGGGAGGGGCCGCGCCGGCCCAGAGGCACCTGCCCCGCGGGAGGGGCTGCCCCGCGGGAGGGGCCGCGCTGGCCCAGAGGCACCTGCCCCGCGGGAGGGGCCGCGCCGGCCCAGAGGCACCTACCAAGTGCTGGTCGTTGAGCAGGTGCACCACGCGGGACGTCCAGTCGCCCATGGGGACGAGGTCGGGAGACGTCCTGTACAAGCGCAGCAGGCACAGGGCGGCGCTCTGCTTCACGCTGTCCATGGTGTCTCTGCAAGACAGACAGCAGTCACTCCTGGGCACAGCGGCGAGCCCGGCCCAGAGCCCACGGACAACACCCCAGTCACCACAGAAGCAGAGGTGCACCCGTGCGGGGGCTGGAGGGACACTCGGGACAAGGCCGCGTCAAGCTCTCCACGCAACAAGCTCAGGCCCACCTCTCGCGATGGGTCTGGTGGGGACCACGCCTGCACGGCGACAGACAGCCGTCCGCTCGAGGGGCCACCTCCACGGACGTCGCCCCGAACACGGTGTACGGGAAGGGGTCCTGCCACCGCTAACCTGCTCCTCGCCGAAGCAGCAATTCCCAAGTGCTGTGCACAACCTCAGCTACGCAGGCTGACAGCTAACGTTCCAATAACTAATAACTGAATTACAGTATTTTTTTTCATTTCTTTTTTAGTTATTTTTATTTTTGGCTGTGTTGGGTCTTTGTTGCTGCGCGCAGACTTTCTCTGGTTTCGGAGAGCGGGGGCTACCCTTCATTGCAGTGTGCTGGCTTCTTATTGTGGTGGCTTCTCTTGTTGCGGAGCATGGGCTCTAGGTGTGCGGGCTTCAGTAGTTGTGACAAGTGGGCTCAGTAGTTGTGGCTCGTGGGCTCTAGAGCACAGGCTCAGTAGTTGCGGTGCACAGGCTTAGTTGCTCCATGGCATGTGGGATCTTCCCGGACCAGGGCTCAAACCCGTGTCCCCTGCATTGGCAGGCGGATTCTTAACCACTACGCCACCAGGGAAGCCCCCAATAGCAGTATTTTTTAAGCTCACTTAATAACAGAGTCCAAAGGGGAGAGTATCAGAGAGCCTTGCACGGCCATGGCGCCCCGTGTCCACCTAGAGATCTCCTCCCCTACACACCCGGCGGGCGCCTAGGGAACAACCGCAGCTACGCTGGGCAAGGGGCATCTGGAGGGTTCCTGTCCTGGTTTTCGTGCTGACCGAGGACAGAGACGGTCCCAACGCTGTTTACCCCTCCTCCTCCCAGACCCTAGCCAAACGCTGCCATGCAGCCGGGCAAGCAGCAGGCCCACCGAGGAGCGTTCCAGAGGAGGCCATCAGAACACGTCTGAGAAGAACTGTCCACGCCCCCTAAGTGCTGACAGAAGCAGTGGGGTTCCCGTTCCGTGGAGGGAAGAGCAGGGTTTGGGGGCTGTCATTACCATTTACCTCCTTTTAGCTTTTTTGTTCCTAAATAACTCCCAACGGATATGACAAACCCCTAAACTACCCCCCATTCCATGCCAAAGAAAAATTACTTCAGTAAAAATTTCTCTCTTGGATGTAAACCCTCCGGGGAGCAGGGGCAGACACCTGTCCCTCTCTCTGGCCCCGCGCCGCGTGCTCCAGGAGCGGCGGGCAGCGGCAACCTCCAGGCCTCGCGGCCTCCTGGGTGTCTGCCGTCTGCGCCCACACACTGCGGCTGAAAGAAGCCGGCCGGTTTCTACTGCGGGGTCTACCAGCTGGCAGCCCACCCTACCCGTACAGCCGCTGCTGGTGGGAACACCGGAGGACGGTGCGAAGCAAGGAGACCGCTGCCCCGAGCTTCAACTCTGTCTCCAGTCAAGGCCCAGAGCTCAGTCCCGGCCTGGAGGGCGCCCCATCGTCCCTCCCTCCCCGACCTCCCAGCTCTGCCCCGCCGCCCTCAGCCTTGCAGCTCCATGCCCAGGCACCTCCGTCCCCACAACTCCACTTTGAGTCTATTTGGTCGCTGGATTTCAAGCGTTGGTCATTTGTTTCAAGGAGGGCTCGCAGGTCCACACAACCTGAGCTTCTGGGGCGAGAGCGGCTGCCTGTGATGCTGACACTGAGAGAACGAGGCCGGCTCCCCGCACACCCCTCAGCAATCTTCCTGCTGCAGGCTCTCTTCTCCACCTTGGGCACCGCCCCTCCAGGCTGTGTCTCAGCACACACCCTTCTGTGTCCTTTCAACCTGCAGTGCAATCCACCCTTTACTTCAGGGAAGTGTTCTGGAATTATCTGAACACTTTCAGAGATTACCTCTGTTTCACATTCCACTCATCCAACAGGTATTTATTGAGCGCTTACTATATACCAGGCATTGTCAAAATGCTAGAAAGAAGGCAACAGTCACAGTGAGCCAAAGCTCTGATCCCGGGGAACTTGCTTCTGAAAGCAGAGACCGGCAACCCGCAGCCAGGTTAGCTGTGCACCGGGCAGGGGCGGGGCTGCACGAGGGGGTCAGGACCCTGAGGCACAGCTGCCTCCTGACTGGCTCCAACCTCCAGCCCCACCTGCCCCTCTGGCCCACTCTGATCATACCACGTCTTTCTCCCACCTCGGTGACTTAATTCTCAGGGCACCCGCCATGTTCTCTGCGTCTTCCGGTTCACAGGTGTGTAACGGTGTCACCTTGGTTCTCCACGTGCTTCCAATCAGCTCTGCCACCCCTCCCCTGTGCTCGTGCTACTGTGCGTCCACCGCCTCTGAGCTCTCACATTCGGGACCGCTTTTTCCATCAGGCAGTTCCGTGACCTCTCTTCCAGCCTGGCTCCTCCGTCTGCCTCTGGTGTGACACCCCGGTGGCACTCCTCCAGGCCTGCAGCCACACACCCGACACTCCCCGGGCCTGTGGCCACCCTGCCACTGCACTGCTTCTTGCTCACGGCCAAGGTGCTCCGTCCTGCACAGCTGCCACCTCGGGCTGATCATTCTCTGTGCACCGTAGGGGGTATAGCTGCATGCCTGGGCTCCACCCATGAGATGCCAGGAAAACACCCTTTGTGGTGACAACCAAACATGCTGGGGCAACACCACTCATTGAGAACCAGGCGTCTACACCCACGTGCTCTGGTGAGGTGTGGGTGCGCTCCCGACAGCCTCCCAGCCTCTCCACTGCGCTGTCTGAGGGTCGTTCCCACTCCCCCGCGGCCCCGTCCCCCACGGCCCCACCCCCCGCGGCCAGAGGAGCTGGAGTTGCCGAGTCCTGCTCCACCTGCTCGCTGGTTGTCCCACAGAACCCAGTCCCCTGAGTCCTGACGAGCCCCCTGGGCTGGGACCCTATTCAGCCAGCCGTGCTGCCCGGGTGTGGGCTCTGTGTCACCTTCGCAAGGTGCAGCGTGTCCTGGAACAGGAGGGGGGCCCGCCTCCGCCATGCCCCGTGGCCCAGCCCGGCACAGCGCTGTTGGAAACTCTTCCAGACCTGCCTGCTCAGCCCCACTCAGCTCCCCTCCAGATTGGAGAGGGTGGGGGTGTGGGGTGCTGGGAAGTCTCAGGATTGGGGTGTGTGAACGCTTCTGCGAAAGGGCGAGAAGGGGCCCCGTGCCCGCAGGACGGCCGCGCTCCCTCTGCCTGGACGGAAGGTTCACCTGGCCTCCCCGTCTCCCCACCACGTGAGACGTGAGATGGGGAGGTTAGCTCACTCCATAAATCCTTCAACAGTCACACAGCTGATCTGTTTAACGTGAGAGGTGGCCACACTCTCAGCAGCAGGGCACCGGACACATACCCGGCTACGAGGATTTTAGGGATCTCCCCCGCGAACGCCTCGGCCATCTCCCGGCTGCCCACGTTGGCGATGCAGTGCAGGGCCAGGCCCGTGAAGGTGGGGTTGCGGCTGCCCAAGTCGTTCTTGACGGCGTTGTTGACCAGGCGGATCAGCTCCGAGTTGGAGTTCACCAGCACCGAGATGAACAGGTAGCCCTGGGTTCCAGAGGGGCGAGAGAGCACAGCGCTCGTGACAAGCCGAGTGCCTCGGACACCAGGCAGACCTCGGACACCTCGGCCGCCAGCAAGCCCCAGCACCATCTCATCTGCTCGGGGCGCTGCGGCCGTCAGGCCACGGAGGACCAGCTGCCTTCTGCTGAAAATGCCAGTCTGTCCCCGGATTCCGCTGTGAACGATTCTGTGGGACGAACCTAAGAGGCACTGTCCCCAGCGGCATCAGACACCTTGGTGCCCCCATCCCACTCACCCATCCATGGGCACCTGTGCTCAGCACGGCCTGAACAGGATGGAAAGGCCCCACCTCAGCTGGAACGGGGCCACTACGGCGATTTCCAGCAACCCGGCTGACTGCCGCTGTCCCCTCTCTCCACTCTGTCTCCAGGCCCCAGCTTCCGCTTACCACCAGGCCAAACTCCAGCCCCTTGTCACCCCCGCTGTCCACGCCCTCCCACGCAGGGACACGCTGACCTCTCAGCCCCCGTCGGTCTCAGGAGGAGCTCACCGCCTTCCCTTCCGCGTACGCGCCTTGACTGGGTGCTGCGGCTCTGTCTGCCCTGGCCCCCGGTGCACCCCTTGGCCTCAGTCTCAGCTCAGGATGCCCCCCGGAAGCCCTCCCTATTAGCCACCCGCTTCTCAGGGTCTGGAGGGTTCTACACGCCTCTTTCACTGGGCACTGCCCACAGCTCTATTCTCTGTGTACAGGGCTGTCTGATGCCATCTCCCCCCTGGAACAGAGCAGGGTCCACATCTGCTTATGGTCGTAAGTCCCCAGGGACCCCCAGCACACTGCTGGGTCCGTGGCAGACACTCGATAAATTCCTGTTGAGTAAATACCAATACTTAACAGAACTCCTGGGGCATCTAGGGTATTTTTTCACTTTCTGTAAGTTAAATTTTTGGACAAGAGGAAAATGTTATTTTGTAACACTCAAGAAAACACACAAATCAGGTTACTCCAAGAGAATGCAGGGCTACAATTACAAAGCCTGGGGTGGGCAGGGCCCAGGCACTGGGCCAGCTGGGAGCAAGGCGAGGCCCGCCACCTGCGCTTGGCTCTTAAACCATGTGGGTGTGTGGGGCCTGGTTCAGAAACAGGCAGTGGCCGCAAGGGCCACTGGGTGAACTCATCTGTGACACGCGTCAGCAAGGCACTGAGGGGAAGGAAACGCTCTTCCCTGCCCTCTAAGGCGGACCCATGGGAAACGGCACCCCTCGCGTCGAACGGGGGTTTGGTGCAGCTCCCACCGGAAGCCACGGGAAATCCCCAGACTAGATGGAAGGTGCAGAGAAAGAGCAGGACACTAAACGACCACCTGATGGGAAGAACCCCCCGCCCCCGCGCACTCACGATCTGCTTCTCGGTGTATCTGTTGGAGCTGAGCAGGTTCACGGCCTCCATGTGCCCGAAGTCGATGTCGTGGCCCAGCAGGAAGATGAAGAGCAGCTTGCACACATACTTCTTCTTGCTGTAGCCATCCAGGGCCTTGTCGCCTGCGGAAAGGAGGCGGGGGCAGGGCAGAAACAAGACAGCGGGACGTGAGGGGCCGGCCTCCAGGAGGCCAGTGTCGTGAGTGCGCGGTGTTGCTAAACCAGGCGCTGCACGTTGGAATCCTAATGTCTGGCTTCCCTGACAAAACAGAAGCCGGAACCCCTGCCTTCCCAGGACGGCCCCAGGGCCTCGTTCCCACCGGCCACAACCTTGCCAGGGCCGCCCTGTCTTAACCAGCAACTTAATCTTTTAAACATGTTTACTAATTTAGGCAGGTGAACACATTCTAAATAATCTTTCATTACACCCAGTTTTAGAACAAATCACCCACCCTAAAAGTCACACATAAAAGGACCAGAAGGGCTTCTGTGTCTTCACCCTAATCACAGCGTGACTACGCCTCTCACAGGAGATCACAGCAAGGCACCTTCAAGACGTGTCGCTGGCAGAGTATAAGATGCCATTTTAAAAAGGACCACTAAACCCTGCCATTTTAAATACCAGAGGTTCTTATTTCCCCTGAGAAGTGTAAAACGCTCCTTAGCAGATTACAAAGATGACAGCCAGAAAGGCTGCCGTCTTCCGAGCTGGGCATCACAGTGACGCCACTGCCACACTGTCAAGGGCCAGACATGGGAGCCAGGAAGACAATGACAGCAACGCTCCTCATGGTACGGGGTCAGGTCACTCGTGCTCCAGGGACAAGCGCTGGCCAGCATCAAAGCGCTGTCTAGAAGAAAGAGGCACCCCACTGATTCCCCAGGGTGACAGTGATCACGAGTCGGCCAGCCAGCTGGACACCTGGCACTGGGGAGCTCTGAGAAACCCTCCCTCCTTCTGAGCAGCAGACTGGCATATGATTCAATGACCAAACAACATAATGTCAGACCAGGTCTGGCTCCCACCCCCACCCCCACTCGCTCATCTGCCCGCTGCACCCGAGGAGCCCAGCTCTGTCACTTCCTGGCTGGGACCCGTCCCCGTCTCCGTGGGAGAGCATCTGCAGACACAGGACACGCAGCCCACGGCAAGCAGCAGCCCCCGTCTCCTACCCACCCGGCCACCCCTCAAGAACCAGCCTGAATTCCATCACCTCTGAAAGCCTCCTTTGACAAGCAAGCCAAGAGGGCCGCCCCCTCCTCTCACCCCCTGGAGAGTGGTCCCTGCCACTCAGAGCCCAGGGAACAGCCGGCCAGACTGCGTGCTGGATGCGGCCTGGAGGCCAAAGGGGCTCTTTCTCTGCTGCTTCAGGACATGGACCCAGCGTCCCTCCCACAGCCCTGCCCAACGCTGGGAGACTTACAGACGCACACACTTGAAAGCCAAGCACACAAGAAGGTGAGGGCCACAGCGCAGGCAAGAACAGTCAAGGGTCTCGGCCCCGGTGCTGCCGTGACACGGGATAAGAGCCAGTGTCTCTAGGGAAACGCGTCTGAGCCCTGGTGACCGAATCCTTCTGGAGGACTTTTAACTGTGATCCTTTTTCACCCTTTCTCTCACTGAGACTGGCGTTCAACCCTGACCCCAACCCTCAACGAGTATCTTCTTATGTTCAAAGAAGTAAAAAGACTAAGATGCCAAGGATGGACAAGGAGGGCGCCCCTGTCGTCTTCTGGAGCTCAGTTAAAGCACGCCGCGGGCTGTGAGATGCTTCAGAACTGCTGGCACCAGGGTATTAACTCTTCCCTCCCCAGCATCCCCACAGACCTGGGGTGTCTTCTTCATTCTCATAGCACTTAACTGAATTCAATTGTTAAAAAAGGGAAACGCAGATTAAAACCACAGTCAGGTGTCACTGCACACCCACTAGAAACACCAAGATTTAAAAGATTAACCATACCACGTGCTGGTAAGAACGTGGAGGGACTGGGAACTCACACACGGCTGGCGGGGGCACAAAATGATGCAGCCACTCTGGAAAACGTGTGGCAGGTTCTTAAAAGGTTAAACATCCACCTTCCACGTGGCCCGGCCACTCCATCCCCAGGTACCTTCCCAATGGGAACGACACCAGGCGTCCACACAAGTCCCGCACACCAGGACTCACAGCAGCTCCACGCCTAGCCGACAGCACAGGAACAAACCCAGATGCCCACCCTGGTGAGCCAGCGCACCGTGAGGCAACCCACCACGACGCGGGCAAACCCCAAACGCAAACGTAAGTCACAGCAAGCAGACACCAGAGGCCTCACACTGCCTGATTCCCTTCATGTGAAATTTCTAGGAAGAGCAGAAGTGCGGTGACAGAAGGAAGACCAGGGGCTGCTGGGGGCTGGGAAGGGTGTTAGGTGCAAAGGGACACGAGGGAACATTTTGGGGGGTGGGAATGTTCTCTGTTGTGTCTGTGGGGGTGGGTGCACGAACACGTGCATTTTTGCCAAAATTCAAAGCGCACGCTTAAAACAAGTGAACTTTATTGTGAGCAAATTGTATCTCAGAAAACCAATTTTTTAAAAATTACTCTGTCAAAACATCCCAGGAAAAAAAGAAGAGCAAAAGATGAAAGAAGACGGGCAAGGGGCTTCCCTGGTGGCGCAGTGGTTAAGGATCCACCTGCCAATGAAGGAGACACGGGTTCGAGCCCTGGTCTGGGAGGATCCCACATGCCGCGAAGCAGCTGGGCCTGTGCGCCACAACTACCGAGCCTGCGCTCTAGAGCCCGCGAGCCACAACTACTGAGCCCATGAGCCGCAACTACTGAAGCCCGCACGCCTAGAGCCCGTGCTCCGCAACAAGAGGAACCACCTCAATGAGAAGCCCACGCACTGCAGAAAAGAGTGGCCCCCACTCGCCACAACTAAAGAAAGCCTGTGCGCAGCAACGAAGACCCAACGCAGCCAAAACTAAATAAATAAATTTATTTTAAAAAAAAAAAAGAACACGGGCAAAATGACGGCAAGTGGTAAAGCCAGGTGACGGCCGCCAGGCGGGGAAGGGAACAGCGCCCCCCCATACGTATACGTTCGCGTTCCCTCGATCAAATGGGGTGGCTTTTTCAAGTCTTTCTTTACCTGTAAAAACATACATTCTTTACAGAAACGCTTTTTATTCATCTTTCTACCGCTGGCACCTGGGATTGAGTGAGCGCCCAGCAGTGAATGAGCAAATGAGCGTGTGTTACCTGGTAAACCTCCGAAGGCCACCAGCCAGAAGACATTTTCCCACCTCTGGGCAGGACAACACAACAGCTGTTTTCTAGAGGTTCCAAGGTTGAGGGCAGGCCCACTGCAGCCCTAACGGCCTCCCATTCGGTGGCTTCCACAAGCAGGCTGGCGGGTGTGCAGGGCAGGGCAGGGTGGGCGCCCCACCTCCAAGGGGCTCTGGGCCTGCCCGGGGAGACGAGCTTAGGCGAGAAGGCGGCGCCACGCCCTCCCTCAGTGGTCGACAGCGCGCGCGAGGGCACGGCCCGGCTCTGTCAAGGGCAAGGCTTTCACACGGGCACTGCCCTGAGGCCCCGGGCCCCGCCCAAGCATCACCACCTCTGTGTGTCTGCCGCCAAGGACTCCACCAGACGCCATGGCCACCGGCAGCCTGTACACTCACCTGCACGCCCACCTCACCTTTCCTCCATCTGCGTCCAGGACCATTTGTCTCTGGTCCGAAGCACATCCTTTAGACTCTCCTTCAGCACAGGACTTCTAATGGGAAACTCTCCTTTTTTGTCTGGCAAAGGTCTTTTTTAGCTTCATTCTTTTTTTTCTTCTTTTTCTTTTGCAGTACGCGGGCCTCTCACTGTTGTGGCCTCTCCCGTTGCGGAGCACAGGCTCCGGACACGCAGGCTCAGCAGCCATGGCTCACGGGCCCAGCTGCTCCGCGGCATGTGGGATCTTCCCGGACCGAGGCATGAACCCGTGTCCCCTGCATCAGCAGGTGGACTTTCAACCACTGCGCCACCAGGGAAGCCCCTTAGCTTCATTCTTAAAGGACATTGTTAGCCAGCTGCTACTGTCCAGCACTTTGGGACCATCCTCCACTCCGCTGCCCCTCGTCCCTGTGACAAGTCGGCTTCCACAAGGACCCTGTGAAGACGGCCCATCTCTTCCCCCTCTGGCAACTTCAAAGATTTCCTGTCTTGGGTTTCTGCATTTTCACAATAGTGTGTCTAGGTGTAGATTTCATCTTATTTATTTATCGTAACTGTGTTTATTGAGTCTGAGGTTTAGTGCATTTCATGAATTCTGGAAAGTTCTGTCACACCAGCTCCCCGTTCCTCCCAGGAGGTCACTTAACCCTGCAGGCCTTTGAACCGCACGCCTGTGTCTCTCACCCACCCTGCTGCTTTGCATTCAGGACGGGCTGTTTCCTTACCCATCTTTCAGAACGTGCCTGTGGCTATATCCACCCGAGTTCTTCATTTTAGTTCTGCATCTTTCGGTTCTAGAATTTCCATTTGGTCTTATTTCAAAATCTGCTATGTCACTTTTTATACTTCCCAAGCTTCCCACTGAAATTTTCAAGTTCGTCTTTTATTTCTTTAAAAACAGTAAACCTAGTTCTTCATTGTCATCTGAATCTGGTCTCGGAGGCCTCTGTGATTCTGTTTCTGTTTTCTCTGCTGGTTCTCGCTGTGCAGTCTTGATTCTTTGTGTGCCTGATGATCTGTGACTAGGTGCTGGACAACATCCTTGAGAAGTTACCTGGAGGAATCACTCAGCCTGTGATGGTAACCTCTTCCTCCAGAGGACTGCGTGTGAAGTCCCGCTGCAGGCCTGGGGCAGGACGGGCTCACTCCCGGGTCACTCCTGCCCTAAGGGCAGCCACCTTTAGGGCCTCAGTTTAAAATGGAAGAAGGCCTCACACTGGAGGCTCTGGGATGACCCTCCTCCTAGACCCCAGCTGCTCAACCTCAGCACTGGGCCTCCTCAGGCCAGGGGGTTCTGGGGGGCTCTCCTCTGTGCAGTGGGGTGTCCGGCGGCCTCCCTGGCCTCCACCCACTAGATGGCAGTAGCACGCCCATCCCCAGTCCCGATGGCCTTTGTCCCCTGGGGGCAAAATCACCCTGACTGACAACCGCCCCTCTAGACACTGAAGGTCACCCAAACCAGGCTCTGTTTCAGGGCTGCTCCTCTGGGGTTAGCAAACTCCCTCCCGGCACAGAGAGATGAGTGCTCTGCTTGCTTTCATGGGCCAGGAGTTCTCTTCTCTTCTTGCTCTATGATGCTTTCAAGATTTTTTTAATACTGTGTCTCTTTTTAAGCCGCTTCCAGTGGAAGAGTTGGTTGAGATGTGCGCTAGCCGATGTGGCGGCTTCGGCCACATGGGGCTACTGAGTACTTGGCCTGCACTGGTCTGAACTGAATGTGTTCCACGTGGGACGTTCCAAAGACTGGGCATGAAAAACATGTAAAACATCTCAATAACATTTGCTACTGACTACATGCTGCAATGATAATATTTTAGGTACACTAAATCAAATAAAATATATTAAATTTAGCTTCATCTGCTTCTTCTTACTCTTTTTTAACGTGGCTACCAGCAAACTGAGAATTCAGCACGTGCCTGCGTTTCCGGTGGACAGCACAGATGGAGAAGTGCAAGTGCAGCCCCCAGAGCACATACTCCTGAGAACAAGGAGTAGGTTTTCCCTTGTCTGCTGCCACTCAGGGCACACACGCTCCATAAATGCTAACTGGTTAACAGAGAAGAGCGAGCCTCCTTCCCTACCCAGAAGGGCTCAGCTGAGACAGGCTCGGGGGCAGAAGAAACTACAGAAGTCTTGTTTGTCCCCAAATATTTAAAGACAGTTTGAAGATTCACCCTCTTCTAACCACATGGTGAACATCTCTTAGGCACTGCGTTCCTCCCCAGGAATGCGCCTGTGTTTCCACACACACGCACACAGTTGCAGCAGCAGACATCATCCGCCCCTTCGACGAAGGCCTGGAGGTGCCAGGAGTGGGTCAGCTCTGTCGGGGTCAGGATCTGCCTTCCTCGGCTTACGAGCCATGGCCAAGCGACGTCCCCAGCCCATGCCAGACCCTCTACCAGACAGTCTGCACTCCGAAGCTCCCTCGAGGGCTAGTGACAACGCTGACGGACCAACACCTCTATCTGCGGCCTCCTCTGCCCCCAGCCAACCTGCTTCCTCTGTTTATAATCCGCGGTGTCACTCTCTAGTCGATCTTCTGTCCTCCAACCCCATCACAGGGTCTGCTTCACAGAGAACCCAGCCTGAGGCCATCAGCACCCCATTTAAAGGTGCAGAGGGGTAAGTCACTCAACAGGGTAACCCAGCTAGTAACTGGCTGTCAGAGCAAGTGCGAGCTGGGGGTAGTCAGGGCAGCCTAGCTCTCATCACCACATTATACGCTCCCTTTTAGGAAGTAGTGGACGTTCCAGACCCCTCATCAGAGAAGATATACAGACGGCAAATGAACACATGAAAGAATGCTCCACATCACGTGTCATCAGGGAAACACATATGATAAAATAGTAACGAGATACCTCTACACACTATCGCAGCAGCTCAGATCCAGACACTGACAACACCAAATGCAGTGAGGACGTGGGGCACAGGGACCCTCACCCGGCTCCGGTGGGGATGCGGATGGTGCAGCCACTGTGGGGGACAACTGGGCGGTTTCTTACAAAACTACACATACCCTCACCATGTGATGGGCAATCACGCTCCTTGGTATTTACCCAAAGGAGCTGAAAACTTATGTCCACACTAAAACCTGCACACTGATGTTTTTAGCAATTTTATTCATAATTGCCAAAACTTGAAAACAACCAAGACGTCCTTCAATAGGTGGATGGATAAAGAAACTGGTACATTGGACGGTGGCATATTATCCAGCTAAAAAGAAATGAGCTGTCAGGCCACTAAAAGACATGAAGGAACCTTAAATGTGTATAACTAAGTGAAAGAAGGCAACGGGGAAAGGCCATATAACCATATGCTTCGAACTCTATGACATTCTGGAAAAGGCAAAACTACCACGACAGTAAAGAGATTAGTGGTTGCCAGGGGTCGAAGGGAGGGAGAGATGAATAGGAGAGCAAAGAGGATCCTTAGGGCAGTGAAAGCGCTCTGTGTGAGACTACAACGCTGGGCACTGTCAGCATACATACGTCCGTCCACACGCACAGAATGCACAACAAGAATGAACCCTAACGTGAGGTATCGATTTGGGCTGACGATGACGTGCCCATGCAGGTTCACTGTGACCAATGAACCGCTCTGGTAGGGAAGCAGATAATGGGGAGGCTGTGCCTGTGTGGGGACAGGACGGGTACAAGAAATCTCTGTACCTTCCTCTCAGTTTTGCTGGGAACCTAAAACTGCTCTACAAAAAGTTAAGTCTAAATTTTAAAAAAATTTTTAAGCAATGAAAGTTATAGACAACCCCTCACATACACACACACACACACACACACACACACACACACACACACACACACACAAATACATATAACCAAACCATTTCACATACAATTTCAGAGTTTCACAGACCTTAGCGGATCCTTGGGCCTGGTTAACAGTAAATCATAGTACCTTCCGAGGGCTCAGCAGGGGATATATGTTGGTAACAACTCAAATTCCACGAGTGTTCGCATCATCTGATCACACAGGACGTCCATTCTCAAACCCTGAAAAAGCTCCGACCCCAGGAAATCCTGTCTTCTGCTGCCCCCAGTTCCCTGGGTCTCGGTCCTGGCTCCCTCCTCTACTCATTTTTTCTGGGCAATTTCAGCCACTCCCGTGGCTAATGTCTGCTCAGAGACTTGAACGAGGTCTCAAATCTGTGAAACTCAACTGAAAAATTAAGGCTTAAGGGATTAACCGGTCTTTCATAAACATGTCCCGCGACTGAAAATCTACCCTTGACAATTCCTCCAAATGAGGATGCTCAGGGGAGGTGTCCGCCCCAAAACCTGGCTCGCAGAGAGGCTGTCTCCCTGAGTGGATTAGACAACATGGTGCGTTATTCACTAACGCAGAGGAAGACACGTCCACGTTGGAAGAGCTCAGGTGACCGTGCAGGACTTCTACGCAGAGCAGTTCCCCACCCGAGACGCACACTCTGCATCAGGTCCACTGACTCACGTGCTCCTGCACCCTGTGGAGCAGAGTCCAGGGCCGGGGGTGGGGAGACAGCTGCTCTAGACAAGCATCCTTCCAGCTCCAGGAAAAGGCTGGTCACAGGAGGGGACCCGCTATCTGATCAATTCTACACAAACCATCAAACGACTCCAGAATAACCACTGGCTTGACTTTAAACACCAACAAAGCCAGGACAGTAACTGCACTGAGACCTTAACTTTGGTTTGAAGTGAAAAAAAATAAAGATGAGATTAAGTCCCTACTTTATAAAATTCACAAAAGAACATCTCATGACAAAGATTAAACACTTACCTTTAAACTTTGATCTAATGTTTGCCAGCTCTTTGTTTATTCTCTTTATTTCTGCTTCTTTACTTTTGCCTAAAAAAAGAGAACACAAATGCATCTTGCTTTAACTGATCTCTAAACAAACACCCACTCCCTAACGAAACTGACACATCAGAATTAAATGCAGAATCAGGGCTCTTAGGAGCGCAAGGAAAGAAGCAGCCGGCCTCCACCTGAAGCCAGGCAGGAGGTGGGTGAGGCAGAAGCCGGGCTCTGACACAGTCTGGTGCGGCTGCTCCCGATCAGGACCCGCAAGTCCACGAAGCCCCCGGGAGAGAGGGGAGTTGCCACCCCACATCACATGTTTAGCTCTGCCTTTTCGCCACCGTCCTGGACCTGGAAACTCTCAAAGCAGTGCTAGCTATCATCATCAGCTAGTAGTTTACTCCTAAAATTGACTTTTACTGCCACAGATAATTTTAAAAATTATAAAGGTTTAACTACTGTAGGCTTCGAATTTTCTTTCTTTATGAAATGCACCAACCTACAAAATCTGATAGGTCCACTTTTACAATATCCAATGAAGTTTGGGAATCATCCAATATATTAAAAAAGGATGGAAGGTACATTAAAGAAATACATGACGGTCCCACTTCGCCTACATCCTGCATCTAGTGCAAAATCGGCCTTCCTTCAACAAGCGTCGGCATGTGCGTTCAGCTTCAGTCCACCTTGACTAGGTGTGGAAACAGGCCTAGAGAGCAGAGACGATGTTTCCAGGGCCACACATCTTAACAAGTACTGTAAAAATATAAGAAGCTGTTCGTCACACAGGGCAGGTGAGTTGTAAGTTCACACTTGAGTAAATTTCCATCGCTTCTGGAAAGCAGGAATTAAGTTCACTATTAAAGGCCCTCCCCAGGCTAGTCCCTGGCTCGGTGACTCTATTCCCAGGCGAAGGAAAGGCTGCCACAGCAACCACCCGCACTGGAGCACTGCCAGGCTGGGGCCTCACAGGTGCCCACACGCTGGGCTCACCAGGCCGTCCTGCAGACTCGCTGCCCACCCGCCCAGCCTCCGTCACTGCCACTCTCGGAGCTTATCTCACCTCGCAGTGAGGCAGCCTCCCACTCCCCAGGGCACTCCCACAACACCAGTTATCTTTCACGACTAACTCGCTAATAAACAGGGTTTAACATCTGCCTGAGTGTAATGGAACCCTCCTTTGAGCCACTCCTACCCTAGAAAGCCCCTGGCCCAGACAGGGCACAGAGGCAGGCTACCCCCCACATGCTGTTCAAGGTGCCAGGACTTAGGTTAAAACAACACATCCTGCCCTCAGGAGCGGCCGTTCCAAGTGGGGGGGAGGGGGGGTTGCAGAACTTTAACAAAACAAGCCCAGCAGGCGGATCTGGGGAACCAGGGGGGATCAGGGGGTTAGGGAGGGGATCCTGACCCTCCTTCTCAGCCCTGAGTGCACTGCGGGGAGGCAGCTCCCAGCTGTGCCAGCTTCCCCATCTGGAAGAGGTGCCCCGAGAACCCAAGGGGGCACCACGTAGAGCAGCGGGCCGGATGCCCCGGAGCGGTGGGTTAAGGGCAAATTTTTTCTTAAGTTTTCCTGAAAAAGTAACACCTTTGCTGAAGTAGGCTTTTCTGACCTGACTGAAAGGGCCACGAAAACAAGGTCATGGGCACCTTCTGCCCACAGCCTGGCTTGAGTGTGGACAGAGCACGGCACACAGGAGGGCCCACGTGTGTGTGCAAGTGTGCATGCCCGCGTGTACGCATTTGTGTGCGCGTGTGCTTCTCACAAGGGTGCAGGAACCTGTGTGTCTGTGCTGCTCTCCGGTACTCGCACTTTGCTCTACCCGTCCAAGCCCAAGGGAAACAGAGACCCCTGCATGGCAGGAACTTGTGTTGTTCAGAGTCAAGACGGGTCAGAACCAGAGCAGAAATCATAAAAAGATTAGGAGGTACTGGATAGGGGGCAACATGCTAAACAAACTACGGGGATCTATAGCTACTACCCCAGACAGGTAGATCACAAAATAAAACCAAAAGCATGTAGTTTGGAGTTTAGGTGTAGCCAGCAGAAGAAACAGAAGCGAATGGATGAGCTGCACTCCCTCTGGGCAACAAGACCGAGGCTGGGGTGAGAAGCTAGGGCTTTCCAGCCAAAGCTGTTTTAAAATCAGCCAATTTATAGCAAACACACACACACTTGTTTCAATCAGGGGAGGTCAGGCTCCCCCAGAGGAGAGGCACAGGGGTCCAAGGACAAAAGCAGACTCTGATTCACTCTGCAACCAAGGGGAAATTACTCCGCATCTCTGAGCACAGTTCCCTCAAAAGGGAAACTACTAAAAGCCACAAGACCTCACAGCAATACACCTGGGCAAGGGGAGGTAGAAGGGAGAGCCCCAAACAGACCCGGGGGACTACACGGGGCGGAGCGTGACCGGGGGCTGGCACAGTGACGAGGGACAGGGAGGGCCACAGAGACCGGTGGACAGGGCCCAGGAAAGCCTGGAAGCACCGCCTGGTGAAGACGGTGGAGAAGGGAGTCTGTGCGACAGGAAAGCCACCTTGGACCTTGCCCCCCAACCCTGCCGCAGCCCAGAGGACGAACTCCACGTAAGACAAGCAAGTTACACTCCACACAGAGACGACAAGGAAGGGGAGAAAGAGTAAAACAACAACCGGCAGACAGGCAGCGCACAGACCACAGCAACACTGGAGCCTCTATCTCCAAACAAGCTGGAGAACAGTAAGAAAAACAGGGAAGACACTTAAAAACCCACAGAAAAACTCAGACGTTAGTTAAGAGAAACCAGGTAAATTAGAAATTTAAAAAATCATTTCAAAAATGGAGAATAAGAGGGACTTCCCTTGTGGTCCAATGGTTAGGACTCTGCGCTCTCACTACTAAGGGCCCAGGTTCAATCCCTGGTCGGAGAACTAAGATCCCACAAGTTGCGTGGCACATCCAAAAAAAAACAAAAATGAGGAATAAGAAACAGAAGGAGGGCTCCCCTGGTGGCTCAGTCATTAAGAATCCACCTGCCAATGCAGGGGACACGGGTTCGAGCCCTGGTCCGGGAAGATCCCACATGCCGCAGAGCAACTAAGCCCATGCACCACAACTACTGAACCTGCGCTCTAGAGCTCGCGAGCCACAACTACTGAGCCCGTGTGCCACAACTACTGAAGCCCACGTGCCTAGAGCCTGTGCTCCACAACAAGAGAAGCCACCGCAATGAGAAGCCCGCACACAAGAGTAGCCCCCGCTCGCCACAGCTAGAGAAAAAACCCGCGTGCAGCAACGAAGACCCAATGCAGCCAAAAATAAATAAATTTTTAAAATAAATAAATTAAGAAACGGAACAGAAGAACAAATATACACAACAGAGGTCTGGAGAGAAACAGAAGATGAAAAAAATGAAAAGAAACAAAATTAGTTAAAGCAAAAAGAAATGAATAAAGAGATAAAGGATACAGGAGAAAGTAGCAAATACTGAAAATGGACAAAGATGCAGCATATGGGCAGTAGGAGTCCCTGAGGAAGACAGCCAACTGGGCAGTGGAACGGCCTAAAGCGCATCATTTGAAAATGCTTTCCTGAAATTAAACAAAGTAAATAAAAGATTTAAAACCACATAAAAAACCACACCACATACCTGGGAATACCGACCCCAAATAACACACACCAAAACATATTCTAATAAAACCACTGGATTTTAAAGAAAAAAAAAAAAAATCCTGGGAATTCCCTGGCAGTCCAGTGGTTAGGACTCTGCACTCTCACTGCCAAGGTCCAGGTTCAATCCCTGGACGGGGATCTAAGATCCCACAAGCCACACAGCACGGCCAAAAAAAAAAGAAAAAAAGAAGAAGAAGAAAAAAATCTTTTGAACACCTGGGGAAAAAAGCAGCTGATACAAGGAAGAAAATCAGATTTCCTCAGACCTCAGACTCGTGCAGGCTCAGGTGTGGGCTGGACACCTGGTCCACTGACTGGACCATGCCTGAGTGCCTCATCACACAGGGGAAACAAGACCTCGGGGGCCAAGGACACAAGCCCACAAACGCTGGCCCTCGCTGGCTGGTGGTGGTGCTTCCACCCGACGGGGCGAGGCTGTGCCTGAGCAGCAGCCCTGGGAACACCCTTGGGAATTGCTCCGGTTCCCACACTCCTGTCCAAGGTGAGGCTTTAAAGAAAGTCGAGTATGGCCGTGGAGGACTGACACCACACACAGATCAACGCGTTCAAATCAAACTTATGCCCGAAATTTACCGAACTGCCATCCTCCTCCAGGTGGTGAGGACACCTGGGAGAAACGCACGCGCTGGGGCCCTGGGGGCCTTCCCCACCCCCAGTTCATGCTCACTCAAGCTGCACTTCCCTCCCGACAGAAGCCCAGCCACCCCACACTGCTGGCAGCAGATGTAGCGATAAATCCGATCTTTCTAGATGCAGAATCAGCTCTGGGAGAACGGGAGAGGTCACTGCCCTGCCCTGACTTCTGAAGCCCATTCTAACAGGGTGAAGCATCAGCCAGCGTAGCTCGGACGCGGTGACAAGCCTCGCCATGCCTGTAGCTTGATCTCTGTTCCACAGTGAAGAGGTTCTGGTCTCTGCCACCCTGCGCTGTCTCCACCTAAAACGCAGCAGGTTTGTCAGCCACAGAAAATACCAAGCTTCTAACAGGCAATTCCCACAGTGGATGTCGGCGCTCTGGTAGCTAATGAGTAACCTAGACTGTCCCACAACCACTGCCAAAAACAAGCTACAATTTGCGTCCAGTAAATAGCAAAGAACACACTCTAGGGGGACAAGCTTTGAAAAAAGCCCTTGGATTTCTAGAATTACCGCCCCTGGTCGTTCTTCCGGAATAACATGCTGGTTGACGATTTCTTCTTGCCTGCAAGCTGAGCTCATCAACTGACAGTGCTAGTGTTCTGGGAACAGCCTGATTCCAGACAAAGAGCACAGGGGCCTATCACAGCTTATTATAACTAACACGCCAAACCGCCAAAATCGCACGGCAGGAAGTCTGAAATTTACAATAAAATTTGGTCAAAATAAAGTTTAGTCTCTATATAAAATGATTTCACTGAGTAAGCCAAAAGCTCAAAATTGAGCAAACAAAAGCCTATTTTTGAAGGACGGTATCACTGTTAAAATGATACTGAAGGCGGTCAGCACAGCAGGAAGCAGAGCGAACTCTGGAAGCAAGCCTGCCCTGGAATGCCACTCCATGTGCCCAGGCCAGCAACCTAACCTCGCTGAGCCTCAGTTCTCCTTCGTCACATGAGGCACCACAAAGTGCTGTGATGAGGGCTGCACAGACGACCATCAAAAAGCACACACAGGGCTTCCCTGGTGGCGCAGTGGCTGAGAGTCCGTCTGCCGATGCAGGGGACGCGGGTTCGTGCCCTGGTCCGGGAGGATCCCACATGCTGCGGAGCAACTAAGCCCGTGCGCCACAACCGTGGCTCCCACATCCCGTGAGCCATGGCCGCTGAGCCTGCGCGTCCGGAGCCTGTGCTCCGCAATGGGAGAGGCCACAGTGGTGAGAGGCCCGCGTACCGCAAAAAAAAAAAAAAAAAAAGCACACACAGAGCAGCCCGCCCACGGGAGACCGTCGTGAACGTCATCAGGACTTTTCTCTATGTTTTCTCTTCATTTGTGCACAGGAAGGATGGGCCTCCAAACAGAAAGCCTCAGCAGCAGCAGACTGGAACAAGATTTCAAAGAAATCAAAAGTTGCTATGCCACAGAAGATAAAGCCACGTTGGAC